ACTTTATAACTATGCTTAGCAGTTTCTATTGTATTGCTGTTAGGCCACACCAATTTAATTTGTTGGTTCTCGGATTCGCCTCTTCATTTTCTTCTGATTTGAAAAAAAAAGATTCTGGTTCTGAATTAACTCAAAAATGCTCATACTTTGCACCTAACAGTTGAGGAAAGTCCTTTTCTTCCTAGTTCCTACAATTTTTTCCATCTATCAATGCAGTGGTTTGATTAAAAGTTTAAAACTGATTGTTTGAATATCAGCAAAGCATTTTGTGTTGACTTAATGGCTACTATGGTTGCATTTGGGACTATAATAGGATGCTTAGACCTTTTTTTTTATTTTTTCGCCCTGTCACTTCATATTTTCTATGAAAAAATCTGATCGAACAAATTAGATTGGTGTGGCCTTAACAACACCAATATGGTGATTCTCACTTTATAGCTAACGCTTAGCAGTTTCTATTGTATTGCTGTTAAAGCAAGGTCCATGGTGGTAATTTCCCATTCAGATAGGACCACAAATGAGACAGCTATCCCAATCCAATTGGGGTAAACCTGTTGAGATGTGAAAATCCTATTTTTGAGTCTTTGATTTTCAAATCAAATCAAAGACTGTTAGGAAAGATGGTTTAGTAAAGTAAGTGTCTCCCTTAACCCCTGTCCTGCTGGCATTTTTTACACAATGTTTTTCATTAATTTCATGTCTTAATCAGGTCACAGACCCGTGACTTTCTTTGCCCTGCGACGACATTCATTGCGCTTCGCTGCGGTGTGATGCGTTGCATGAAAAATACCCCCAAATCGTACCTATACAGGGTGCTATATAGATGGTACTGTATGTGCAACCCAACAATTGTTATCTCACAGGGAAGAATTCTAACCATATATGGTGTGCCATATTGCAATTGGATTGAATACTGCCAGTATATGTACATGTACTGTTACAATTTAGTAGATAGTCATATTATACATTACATTGTATAGTAACTGTATGTGCTAAAAGATGCTGCACAAGCAACATCTCTTCTATATATATTACCTTGAGTTTCTTTTGTGATGTTAGTTCCTCAGAAATTTGACCTACTTTTACTGGTTAATGATTCACAGTGCTCCTTCCAAAATAGAGAATGGTACACACATGTAAGTCTGCATTTGTGCATTGCTTGGTTACCATGCATATACTGACTGGCAAAAAAACAAGCAAGTTTACAAGTTTTAGAGAACATGTATGAAATTTTCATCTATTGAGATATTGCTCACAGCATGAAGAACAAACAACTGGCAGAGATGTTTTGTCCCCTCCCACCATGCTACATCCACCCCAGCATGCACTTGTTGTGCGTTGCCGATTAATTACGCGGCCCTGCGAGGCCCTACAATAGACACGAGACACGCTGAATGATGTGGGATGGGGGAACTCATTACGTTCCCGCGTGTGTTGACAAATCACGGAGGCAGTCTAGAGGGTGGGCAGACCTGATTAGAGGTAGAGGTAGGTAGTAGACCTGGTTACCCCTGATTTAGAAGCAGACGGTAGAGGTCAGATAGGTGTGATACCCTTCATTTGACCAGTGGGGTGAGTCTGTTCTTCATTGTTACTGGGGCCATTCACAGGGTAAGGTACTAGGGTATGCCTATGCAAGGATTTGTTTCATTATGAATGTTTATTAAGGCAAAAAAATTATGATAATCTCTATATATGATTCAGAAAGATTACAAAATGAATTGTTGTCAAGAAATTGTATTCAGGCAAAATGTTTCCATATTCAATATTGTATTAATAATATTCCTTACCCTGTGTGGCTATGTAGATGATTAGGTTGATCACTAGTCCTATCATAGGGTCTTGTTTGAATTACTAAAGGTCTACATTTTTGTACTCTTGTCTTGTTATAATAATTCATCTTCATATATACATGTATATGTGTGTTTTGATAGCAAAGTAAATATCCATGGATCATGCCTATATCCACCATCAAAATTAATGTATGTGATATTCTTCGAAATATAAATATACAGTTCTGGTAGGAGGCAGTCCTGTGATCATGTTGTCCTGACTGGTATTTTGACAGTTGAGAAGTCCCAGAGGCATGGTGTAGAATAGTAACAACACGTTAAACCAAAATGAAGCCCTGAGTAGAATAGCCTGATAACTTCTTGCGTGTTTGCCTCTGTGTTATCTTCCATGGTAAAAATTCCCTGTGGCTTGTTTGTATATTGTAGACATAATGGATGCATAGGCACACATGTTTGTTGGTTTATCATCTGTGAAATAACTGGTAGCTGTACAGGATTTGCACGCCAGACAGTTTGACGCTAGTCAGGTTTGTGACATTTGACTTTCTTACCATTTTTTTAAAAATTCCAACATTTCATGACTAGACATGGTGACAGCACACTCAAGTTATATCAACTTATTTTATGCCACCACCAATGCAGAGGACACATACAGGACAGGACAATACCCATTTTCACTTGAGTTAAGTGAGGAAAGTCATGTAAAGTGCCTTTTCCAAGGGCACAAGATCAGCGGCATGTCAGGACTCGAACCCGGGACCTCTTGGTTCCGAGTCGAGAATACGACCCCACATTATTCTTATCATTTGTATTTGTACATTGTACATACAATGATCTGATGATAATAATATAGTGAAGTGAAATACCTTGCAGGTTATGCAGAATGTGTTGTGTTTAAGTAACTAACATTAGCATGTTGGAACAGGGTTGTTGCTTCTATGTCTAACTCTGCATTCAGATTTTATAATCCAAATGTTGCAGACCATGAGATTGGCCCTACATGTCCATGAAGCTGTAACCTACAAAGTAAATCAAAAGTTGTCCATTTTGTGAGGTTGAAATATCAGTCAGTGTGATTTAAAAGAGTAATGTAGAAACTGTACATGAATGTGCTTTTTTCGATAACATGTCACATATATTACTGCTTGCTGCCAGGGACTACATTTGTAACTGACCTTATTTCCGGACTGGTACATTTTGCTCTCTCTGGACCAGTAATGAACTGTATCTATCTGAACACTGAGCTTCAAAGCCTGAGGTTGACTCCATCGCACTTTAGCATGGCACCCGATCAGTCTTTCTACACTCCATTTTGCTCTTAGTCCAGAAAGCTGGCCATCGGCCATATTTTTGTGTGTGTGTGTGTTTTAGCATAGTGGGCAAGGATGTGAGTGTACGTGACTTGTAACCTTTTACAAGGTTAGAAACCGCACTGTCATTGAGGAGTTACATGTAACAGCTAAAAAAGTACTCTTGAGTATACTTAGGCCACAGCAAGTAATTTTTATGGATGACATCATCAGCACGGGTTTTGGAAAATAAAACAAGAAATTTTGTTGCCTTCTGACAGTGGTCAACATGCTGAAAATAGGCAAAGATGTCTGTTGCCATGGCGGAAAGCGGATGGCAAGACAAGGCTCTGATGTAATGTTTTGTCTTTTACTTTGATGCAGTGATGTATTTCATTGCTGTGTGTACATGTATGTGACATTCCCACTGAATCGAAAACATTTGTACAATGATTGAAAACTTTTATTTTTCAAAGTTATTTCAGTGAGAATTTGATGTTGTAATAGTTGGAAGTAAACTTAGCACTTTATACAGTTTTCTTGTCTAACAGGATTTATGATGTCAAAATTTGAAAATGTTTTTGAGCCTGCCTTGTTTTTTTCGCCCTATCGCATTAGATTTGGAGTCTGTGGAGGATATCATCCATAAAATTTACTTGCTGTGGCCTTATGTAGCATGTCTCTGCCAGCCTAATACATGTAGCAGTAACAGGGAGCAATATACTGTATACTACATGTAAGTCTTGATGCTGATGGCATTTATCTATGAAGGTTGAACATTAGATTTCTGTAAAACACTTTAAGGGTTTATCCTGCCACTTGCTGTGGCCGTTGTAGACACTTGCTTTCCCGATTATGCAGACGTTGTACAAATGTCCAATATAGGTCAAACAAGTGTTCACAAAGGTCAGCAGTTATCCCTTTGGGGAAAATTGATAGTGATAGTTCAGGGTGTTGAGCCTGGTACCAAATCAATACCTGCACTACGTTCAGTACACTTTTAATGTCCTGAATTATTTGCAGTCCAGCAATTTTCTAAAACAATGTTGGATAAAAACTTTTAAGTTTTTGCACAGCGATAATTCTTTGATCCTGTATACATGTACATGTAATTGATGTGATAGTTTAGGGTGTTGAGCCTGGACCAAATCAATACCTGCACTTTGTTCAGTACACTTTTAATGTTCAGAATCTGAATTATTTGCAGTCTAGCAATTTTCTAAAACAATGACGGATAAAAACTTTTAAGTTTTTGCAGAGCGATAACCTTTGAGTTTTGATCTTGTATATGTGTATATACATCTACAATGTAGATGCTAGCATTTGAAGGAAAATAGCTGTTGCAAGATGGCAGCTGTCAGCACTGATCATAGTATGATTACTGTACATACTGCATACAAGTACATGTACATCTAAATACATACATAGGTCCAATGGTTGGGCTGGTACCTTGGAATACAGAGTGCTCACAATCTATCTGGGAACAAATTTTGGATTTCCAAGCCTTTAAAAAATGCAATTTCCCACATTGTGAGAGATAAATCATGGGGTTGAGAGTGGTTGTGGGTGGTCCTTTGGATGTTTGGATATTTTTACCACTTAAGATTTTTGGTAATTTAGTCTATCAAGGTGGACGAATTGGTGAAGAAATTTTTCTCTAGTATCCAGAAGTTTCCTGCAATTGACGGAAAAACGGGTGCTGGCTAGAGCCTTGACGTACATGTACATACAGACGAGTAAATCATTTTCCCCACATAATGTCTGTATTTTGTCCTATCCACAGCCATGGCCAGAGACCAGATAGTACTGATCATACTATGATTACTGTTACGTACTGCATACATGTACATGTACATACAGACGTTTAAATCATAATTTTATATTATTAATGACTGTATTTTGTCTGTATTTCCCCCAGCCATGGCCAGAGACCAGACCACCTCCTCCATCAGGGACCAGTCACCAGCCAGGTGCCTACATCACTGCTGAACCAGCAGCCAGTATTGCAGCCAGAGGGTCCAGTAGGAGCTATGAGAACATGCTGACAGACAGGCAAAGGCCACCGTACGGTAAGCTGATGATTTTTTACAGCACTAGTACTTTTCACACAAAGAAAATGACACTGTTAACTTTGCACCTTAAACTGAAGTCCTATTTTGAGGTCAGTACAGTCAAACCTTCAATCAGGCCACCTGTCCATGGTGACCGCTTTTTCTCGGTCCCCAAAATTTTCCCCATTTACACAAGCATTAAGCAACCTGTCCAAGGTGACCACCTGGCCAAGGTGACCGCCTTGAGTTGGGTCCGCTCAAGGCCTGATACCTGCCCATGCTGATTATTGATGAGAAATCATGGAGAAACCAGCCAGTTTGCCTCGACTGCTGGATGATGGTTTTGTTTGAGGTAAATTGTTCCATGTGCCACCTTCCCCACCACATTTGACATTAAAACATCTCGACTTGGAAACCATGTCTCAGTTCATGTTGTGAGACAACCCTCTTCAAGGAGACCACCTGTCCAAGGTGACCACTTTTCTTTGGTCCCCTGGGTGGCCGGCTTGGACAGGTTTGTCTGTATAAGGAAAATTCAGCCTACTTGTGTTCATGCTATTAGTATGCAGGATGTTGGTGGGAAATATTGTACTGTAGATATCTTCCTTCAAGAGGCTATGTGGCTGTCATTTTGTTAGTCTGTTATCTTTAATATCTCTGGTACTGGAAGTCCTGAAGATATTTTTCATGGTACTTTTACTTTGCAGTTTTCGTGGTCACTTCTGTACCCCGTGAGCTTATCATTACTGTTAACAAATAATTGGCCGATTTTCTTTTTTCTGCACCTGCCGCTACAGTGAACATATACATGTAGTTCCGTGAACACCTCTGTTTTCGTCAGACTGTGAACTTTTGCTACTGTGAACATAAAGTGAACTAGAAAGGTAGCATTTACAAAGGAAATGCATAATGCTTACCTTCGCATGTGGTCAGTTGCTCTGTTAATTCTTACTCAAATACATATCATATATATGGTCAGACAGGAGTATAAATCCCTTCTGCTATAAAATTGCAACATTATGTAAACCTAGTTACAGTTACTGTATTAAAGATTCTCTACAGTCCAGTTTTAGGGACACTTTAAATGATTTACTACCTTCTTGAAGCGACTTGCATCCCCAATTCCACATCAAATTTAGAATAATCCATACCCCAGATTAAGATGAGGCTGACTTTATCAGTTTGTAATGATATAGTAATTCTGTAGGAAGGCCTTAAAAGTGAAGACTGTATTGATTGTAAAAAAATAAAGTGATTGCCTTTGGCATGGCTTTGTCATAAGAGATTTGGATGATATCCCTTGTATGGTGAACTGCATCTTAATGTGGTATTCCTTTAGAGGGGATGGTCACCCATCAGCCCATAATAATGGTGAAATATTTTATTATAACAACACATTTTTGGCAACATTGTCCCAGATATAGTGAGCCACAGTATGTTCCTTACATGATTATGTGAGAAAATTCATCTTATTAGGCCACACCAATTTAATCTGTTGGTTCTCGGATTTTTTCAGAAAAAATATGAAGCGACAGGGCGAAAAAAAATAAAAATAAAAACAGGTCTAGGCATCCTGTTATAGGCTTAAATGCTACAAAATGAGCCATGAAGTCAACACAAAAGGCTGGGTTAAAATTTAAACATTGAATTTTGAACTTTTAATCAAACCACTGCAATGATAGATGGGAAAACTGTAACAACTAGGAAGAAAAGGACTTTCCTCAACTGTTGGGGGGCAAAACATGAGCATTTTTCAGTTCATTCAGGACCAGAATCAAATTTTTTTTTTTGCAAATCAGAAAAAAAACGAAGAGGCGAATCCGAGAACCAACAAATTAAATTGGTGTGGCCTTAATACCATGATGAAAATTGAGGTACACATGATAAAGAATTATTGATCTGTTTATGAAGTTGCTTATAGATGTTAAAAGATTTTCCTAATCTCTGTTTGGTCAGGTACCTCATCTCTGTCATGTCCCAAACAATTTCGGCAGCCCTCCCCACCCTTCTGCGTCCACAAAAATTGATTGTACTCCGTGCATTCTAACATCCTCCTGCCTTCAGGAAACGTGGCGCGGCCTGTATAAATCAGCGAGGTGGGCCGTGACTCTCATTTCGGGGAATTCAGCGCGACTTGCCCTGTCACCTTCCCCCGAAAATTCAATCAATAGATGATAGAGTTTTATGTTTTTCCCGTTGCCTTCAGCACTTAGAGACCAGGCAAGTGCCGCTTTGCTATTGGTTGGGTGACAGATTTATTGTATGCATAGCAGGGTAGTGTACAATCAGTCTCGTATTCAAGGCTTAGGTCTAAGCTGGTAGGGTGGGGCATGCAGGCACTGCAGCTGCATCCATGCTGAAGTAACTCAGAAAGGCTGCTCGTTTTCTGTGCACTTGCTGTATTGTAGAGAAGGGTGAGTATAATATGTAGTCTTCTCCCTTATTTCTCCTCTGGTCTCTTAGTGTCAAGTTGACAAAAGGTAGTGGATGCTAACGTCTGACCACTTCCAAAATCATATCCAGCTGCTTGAGTAACTGTTTTTTCGGCGTATCTTATTACCTGGATGTCTAACCGTCACCGACGTATTATGTAGTTTTCATATCCGTCTGTTTTAGTACTGTATGCATTCCATTGAGTGAGATTAATCTGTAAGATTAATATGATATATAAGAGATTAATGAGAATATTCTGTAAATCCTTGTTGGTCAAGAGCTAAGCTCGGATTTAGGCACGAGGTCATACGTGTATCAGTCTGATGTCCATGGTGCTGCAAAAGGGTTTAGCGAAAATCGATCGCTATCAAAATGCCTCCAATTTAGGCAGGTTTGCAAAATCACTGTCCTTTGTGCTGAAAATTTAGGTGTAGTGTGCTGAAAATTTAGGTGTAGTGGGATGAAAATTTAGGTGTAGTGTGCTGAAAATTTAGGTGTAGTGTGCTGGAAATTTAGGTGTAACATTAGTGGGATGAAGATTTAGGTGTGGTGGGATGAAAATTTAGGTGTAGTGTGCTGAAAATTTAGGTGTAGTGTGCTGAAAATTTAGTTGTAGTATACTGAAAATTTAGGTGTAGTGTGCTGAAAATTTAGGTGTAGTGTGCTGAAAATTTAGGTGTAGTGTACTTAAAATTTAGGTGTAGTGGGATAAAAATTTAGGCGTAGTGTGCTGAAAATTTAGGCGTAGTGTGCTGAAAATTTAGGCTTAGTGTGCTGAAAATTTAGGCGTAGTGTGCTGAAAATTTAGGTGTAGTGTGCTGAAAATTTAGGTGTAGTGTGCTGAAAATTTAGGTGTAGTGTGCTGAAAATTTAGGTGTAGTGTGCTGAAAATTTAGGCGTAGTGTGCTGAAAATTTAGGCTTAGTGTGCTGAAAATTTGGCGTAGTGTGCTGAAAATTTAGGTGTAGTGTGCTGAAAATTTAGGTGTAGTGGGATGAAAATTTAGGTGTAGTGTGCTGAAAATGTAGGTGTAGTGTGCTGAAGATTTAGGTGTAGTGGGATGAAAATTTAGGTGTAGTGTGCTGAAGATTTAGGTGTAGTGTACTGAAAATTTAGGTGTAGTAAGTGTGCTGAAAATTTAGTTGTAGTGTGCTGAAAATTTAGGTATAGTGTGCTGAAAATTTACGTGTAGTGTGTCAAACCACTGAATGATAGCCTTCAGTTGAATGATAGCCTTCAGTTGTGTATTTTGGATTGACGGTAAGAAAGTCTTTGACTAAGCCTTTTTAGTTCACAGTTGTTACTATGCCTTGCACGTACACCTGTGTGATAGCTTGCTTATCTTGGGATCCACTTTAATGCACAAGCCACAATTCATCAGGTCTTTGTAATTAATTCCTATTTTCCTGGCTCAGGTATTGTTCTACCCTTGAAGGACGATAGGGTCACACCTTTTCCGGAAGGTTCTTCCATTTCACACACATAAAATGTATCGCTTCAACAAGTAGGGATCTTTCCACACAGATGGACAATGTTAGCGGCTTGATTTACTAAGAAGATAGGCATCTTTGTTCTCATCCATAAAGCCTTCCTGAATTCATCACACTGACTGAATCAGCGCTCGAATCAGGTGCCGTGTATGGATGCCGTACAAAAGGTAGCTTCACCTTGACACTGCTCATCAATTACGTCAATCCTGTCCTTCTTCTTTGTAAAACTCCTCAAGTATGTGCATCTGTATCGGTGTAGCCCATATAACTGCCCTTCGGTGTAACACAACAGCTTCTGTATCGGTATAGCCGGTATAAGTACTATAACCGCCCTTCAGTGTAATACACCAGCTTCTGTATCGGTATAGCCAGTATAACTACCCTTTGGTGTAACACACCAGCTTCTGTATCGGTATAGCCGGTATAACTACCCTTTGATGTAACACACCTGTCCAGCTTCTGTATCGGTATAGCCGGTATAACCGTCCCTCGGCGTAATACACCAGCTTCTGTATCGGTATAGCTGGTATAACTACCCTTTGATGTAACACACCAGCTTCTGTATCGGTATAGCCAGTATAACCGTCCCTCGGCGTAACACACCAGCTTCTGTATCTCTGTATGGCTGGTATATAACCACCCTTCAGTGTAACACACCAGTTTCGCAGTCACGTGGTGTGGCAGCAGCTGGCTACATTACACTGAACGACTTGAAACACCTAACCCTTGAACATCTATCTCAAAACATTGCGTAAAGCTATCAAATGATAATGCCCCTACTGTACTTGGTTACAGCGAGTTCCACTCTGCAATAGTTCAAGGAAAGAATGAATTCTTGAACACCTCAATCCTTGGTTGATAACTCTGGTACTTGAAAGCATGACTATTTCTTGTTCTCTTTTGAGCTGGTATTAGGTACTTAGTAGTTGGTATGTCCACCAGTTTATTAGCCATTTTGTACATCATGCATAATCTGGACATTTTTTGCCTGTCTTCCAGCAACCTCTACTGTAGGTTTCTTTTCATTTCCGTGACACTAGCACCCCTTTCATAGTTGTTTGTGCAGAATCTTGCAGCTTGATTCCGTACCCTTTCC